AGCGTTTGAAACTGTCTCGATTTCTGTGACCTTGTCAACTCATCGAATTAATGTCTAGTCTAGAATCTTCCGTTTCAAATTTATTTTGCGTTTTCACCAGTTCTGTATTTCGCGCGATTTCTATAGCTCTATCCAAAGTTAAAGTATTTGATTCAATTTGTAGTTTTAATGACTCTGATTTATCCTTTAATCCAACGACAAGTCTATCCAAAATTCTCCTGTCAACGTCATCAAAATCACAATGTTCACTGGCTTCATATAATCTCCTGATAAATAATTCTACGCTTTCATCGTCTTCTTGGGTCATTGTATTAAAAACACTTCTGTCAAATATGACGTTTCTCTTCGGCACAAAATAATTGTCAAATTTCTTTAACACTTTATCATAATTTTCCTTGTCTTCATCCTCGTCGAATGTGAACATATTAAAAATTTTCTCAGCAGTTTCACCCATACAGAAGATAAGAGCACTGACCTGAATATCTCCGTCTTCTTCGTGTAATTTGCATCCTTTGCGATAACGACAAAATGACTGCTTCCAAACTGGCCATTCATTGGACTTGTCAAACTGGAACTTTTCTGGTTGTCTCAATTTCGCCATTGTATTTTGTCAGCTTTATGAACATAGTTGATGAACGAATTTAATGTCCCAACACAACTGTGCTACGATCCTCTTCTCAGTTGATGAACGAATTTAATGTCCTAACACAACTTTAAGGTAAACCTGTTTACTTCTGACACCATGTTGCATTCATATATAATGCGTGCTGCTGGTTGCTTGGCATGACAGACTGGCCCCATTTCATACTTCATAATTATAGACCCAATATATATATAACTAAGTCAGGATCAGGATAATACTACTTGTATTATAGGAAATAACTAAATATACAAAACCATAGGTAAGCATATCAACGTAGCATAATGACAGACGACCTACTCTCATGAGACCCAGAACTCTACTGTCCCTAACTGACCACCACACGTGCAGACTCACTATAGTCTCTTTCAACATTACGTCATAACGTCTGTATCAAATTAGTGGTTATACTAAATCACTCGCAACAGGTTAAAATCTTTATTTAAAGGAGCTAAATCGCTAATATTTGGGACCTGGAAATTGATACAAATGGGTCGCAACGCATATAATAATGTAATACGAATGTATATAAACCGATTTACATTCAATTGTTTCTGTTTTTACTGTAATTTCAAATCAGTTATGTTTGGCGAAATACGCCAGAAGTCTCAATTGAATGGCAATCTTTAGCGTCTGGTTATTCCAGTCTACACCGATGGTATTTATTGCGCATGTTCTCCAGATAAGAATATAGCGTCACCATTTGACATGACTTGTGGAATATGTCTAGTCGCGTTCTTTGTGTCCCTTGTTAGGGTGACCCATGTACTCACAGAAATACAGTCCACCGCTGATAGTTCGAGACTACCACTGAAGCGTGCACATTCGCCGTGCCGAGACCAACTTTCTGACAGTATGATACTATAAATAGCCATGGCACGTGCAATTCTCTACAAATCTATCAACTATTACAGCTGTAAAAAATTTATTGTTGACGATTTTGAATAGCAGTAAACTTAAGCTTCTTAGTTATTACATCAGATTTAGAAATTACGTTCGTTTCATTTTTTAAATCGCTTTATCATTAACTGTACCGTTAAGAGCGGCATCTTTTGGTTTAGTACAAATAATATCTCTGAATCACTCGGGTTAGACAGGAACATGATACTAGCAGTAGTTTCATTTTACTTTTACAAGCTTCTTAAAACGATTGTTGAGCTACCTAACGTGCTTATTTCTAAATTCAATTTCTTGTTCTAGCTTTCTGTTATGTTTCGTAAAAAAAGTAGTCTTGATTATCCCGACCTGTCAATCAGATGTAGAATGGTCGATAGACTGGTTAAGCGAGACTAATTTCAAAACAAGGGCACGTAACCTATCTTTTACTCAAAAGTGTCTGGATGTTATGGACGACGCTTGGAACCAGTTTTCAGTCTATTATTTATACATGATTAATGGTCATAGCTTATTAAGTACAACATGATCGTTTATTCAGTGACTATAATTGTGTGAAACTGATTTGAGGCTTGGCATATATATAAATATTGTGGCGTAATTGTCGAGATATATGGAGATATTTATTTATGGTGGGTCACCCTACCCTTGTTACAAAAGGCGCTGAAACGCATTATGCTACACGATTCGTGTACCAATAATAAAATGTTTATTTTGTCTTAAATATTGGATATCAGAAGCCCATCTTTTCCGGGTAAGATCACAAGACCAATGTTGATTTGAATTGACAAATAATTCGTGTTTTCAATGTCGAAGACTTTGGATGATATTGAGTTAGAGACTTAGCTACTTTAATTATTAAATATTGATTAAATGAAAATTGTTATGCTTAGCCTATGATTATGTAATAAGAGTATCATACGCTCTGGGGAGGAACAATCCTTGATCTCTGTTCATCATCAGATAAGAATTATCTGATCTCAGATAAGAATATTACGTCACCATTTGATATGACAATATGGTACACAATTCGTGTACCAATTGTAAAATGTTTATTTGTTCTTGAATATTGGATATCAGAAGCCCATCTTTTCCCTGTAAGATCACAAGACCAATGTTGATTTGAATTGACAAATAATTCGTGTTTTCAATGTCGAAGATTTTTGATAATATTGAGTTTTAATTATGAATTATTATCACAATCATGGGTTATATATACTATTCAAAAAAAGTAGGGGATATTTGATTTTTAAGTGTTATTAAAGTCACCTAATGAAACTGACGAAGAAACAAATGACAAAACGAAATGAAGTTCACATTCATCGATTTATTCCAAATGATCGTTAGACTAAGTAAGGCACAGACTGACCATTATAAGGGTAAAATGATACCCGGGGTCAAACAGCAAAGTTACCACAGCATCACAACCAAGTCAGTAACGGGTAAATCCTCCTCTGTTTGCCAAACAAGCATTGATCCGACGTGGCATACTCCTAATGAGACGTCTAAGGTCATTTTGGTCCAGATTGTCCCATTCCTGTTGCAACGCAGCAGCAAGTTCTTGGACATTGGCAGGACGTTGTTGACGTTGACGTAACCTCTGTCCAAGCATGTCCCAGACATGCTCGATGGGGGAGAGGTCGGGACTCAGTGCTGGCCAAGGTAATGTGGTGATGTTCTGTTGTTGGAGGTAACCTGTAACGATCCTGGCCCTGTGACATCTTGCGTTGTCATCCTGGAAGATGAAACGGCGGCCATGACGTCGTGCGAACGGCACAACATGGACTGCCAAGATGTTGTCCCGGTAGTACTGGCCCGTAACACGCCCTGCAACAACATGTAAAGCCGTTCTTCCAGCAACAGTGATGCCTCCCCACACCATAACAGAACCACCCCCAAATCGATCATGTCTGATGACGTTAACGTCTTGGAAGCGCTCGTTTCGACGACGCCACACCCTCCTACGTCTGTCCAAAAAATCAACAGTGAACCTTGACTCATCTGAAAACATCACATTGCTCCAGCGTCGATTATCCCATTGTTGACGATCCCTACACCAACGACGTCTTGCCTGAATGTGATGATCTCTCAAACAAGGGATCACGCGAGGACGTCGGGCGCGAAGGTGACCCCTATGCAGTCGATTCCGAATCGTCTGGCCACTCACTCTCACACCAGTGTCTGTTTGAAGACGAGCGCTGATCTGATTTGCTGTGATGACACGATTTCTCAAGGCCAAGGTACGGATAAATCGATCCTGGGCTTGAGTTGTCGCCCTTGGTCGACCTGAGCGTGGTTTGTCCTGTACAGATTGTGTATCACGGTATCTGGACCATAGCCTGCTTATGACTGACTGAGAAACATTCATCGTCCGCGCCACAACCGCCTGTGTTGTGCCGATCTGTAGCATGCCAAGGGCACGTAACCTTTCATTTTGGGTAAGCCGACGCATATCAAAATTTGTTTTCTGGTCACTAAAACAATTAAACTGATGTTTCCACCCTGGAATTCAATGCCACAATGAATATTATACCGTTGTTGAGGGTGGTGGGTAGATTGTGATTTGTTTTGTAAGCAAGAATTGGGGACGCAGCCGTTATGTATGTCTTATATATGGAAGTGCAGTGACAGATGATTTGATATTAGAGAGAGAGAGAGAGGGAGGGAGAGAGAAGAGAGAGAGTGATCGGGTTTAAGGTCCCCTCAACACAAACTAGGTCATTTCGGGACTGACTAAATTGGTAATCATAAAGTGGTATTTTGCGTGTTTAATGAACTCGATACTTATCAAACGTGGGTATAGTTGGGGTTATGTGTGATATTTTGAAGTCAGAGAGCAATAGAGAAGTGGGGTTTAACGTCCACTCGACACAAATTAGGTCATCATAGGCACGTTTCATTGAAATCGGGTTATAATTGTGGTCTGCGGCCGTGTCACATAAAATATTATTGTTATCATAATCTGTAAGTTTCATTGACATCGGTTGATTGTTGCGGTCTGCTGACTTACCACATGTATCAAAAAGCGAAATGATAAGAAATGGGGTTTAACATCCTACTGTTCTACTTCTAAACTAGTGCTAATGAAGACGGGCATACGCCATACAGTGTGCTATGAGGGAAATTTTGCCCGGGCAGCGGCGCCACGGCCTACTTATATCGAATTCCAACTGCCAAGGGATCTTTTACGGGATCACCATTCTGCCCCTCTGCCAAGGCAGCGGCTGAACTCGGTTGAGTCCACACGCCGGTCTATGCGTCTCTCCTCCTCTCCAGTCGTCTCTAGTCGTCTATCGTCAGTAAACTCCTGATTATATAGCACCGGAGAATAGATAAGACTCATGATCCTACATGATATTGTCTCTTTATCACGTCATGGTATGATTACTGACCAGTGCATATTCCTTTGAAGTCATGTGAAGCTTGTATACAGATCATATGTAGTTTGTAAATGACATATGGGATTAATTACATGTTTAATTAGATCACAGAAGTTTATACAGAGTTGAAAAGTCAATATCATATATTATCAAAAACCAGCTGAGTACTTTGTCACATTCCTATCCTACCCACAAGTTATTTACTAATTAAACAACAAACTAATACAATTCTCAGAGGTTGAATACTGGCTTCACATATTGTAAATGATAATATACTGAGCGCCATGGAAAACGCATCACTTTTTTTCCAAAATATTTTATTACCAGGTGGTTTTGTATGTATAATTTTATGCAATACTATGAACTATTTTTTCACACAATGCTCCCAAACGCAAAAAATATCGGCCCGTGTGCACAAAAAATAGAATGCACGAGATGCACATGAAAAACCCAATATTCACGTGCAGCATTGTGTGTGAGCCCTTTAAAAGCACGTTTTCAACTTAATGTACAGTACATGAACTGTGAAACGTCAATCTGTCGTAATTTGTTGTTGGACGTGTGAAGGAATCGAGCTAGAGATGCCGAGACTTACTGAAAATCAACGGAATGAAGCCATGGGAATGTCCAAGGCTGGCATGTCTACACGTGCTATTGCCAAACACTTCAATTGTCATCAGTCCACTATTGTAAGGTTGGTGGAACGTGTTCGAGTTACTGGATCAACACGTGACCGTCAACGTCCTGGCCCACAACGCGTTACAACCCAGGCTCAAGACCGCTACACCCGGGTCACTCATCTGCGTGTCAGATTCCGCCCAGCGACTCGAACAGGTGCAGCAGTCGTCGGAAGACAAGGACCAATAAGTGCCAACACCGTAAGACGTCGTCTAAGAGAAGTAGGACGACCTTATGTTGGAGCTATCCTCAGGGATCATCACCGTCAGCGGCGTTTGATATGGGCTCAAGGACACCAGACATGGATAAGAGTAGACTGGCAAAGTGTACTCTTCAGTGATGAGAGTCGCTTTCATCTTTATCACGCTGGTGGCCGTCAATGTGTGTGGAGACGTTTTGGGGAACGTCTTGCAGACTGCTGCGTCTTCGAAACGAATCGATGGGGTGGGGATAAGTGTAATGGTGTGGGGAGGCTTCACATTTCATCACCGGACCGCCCTACACATTTGCAGGGGTCGCGTTAATGCTGTAGCCTACCGTGATGATGTCTTGCAACCAGTTGTTGTTCCGATGTTTCGAGCGCACCCACAACTTCAGCACAGGATAATGCACGTCCGCATACCGCCCGGTTTAGTATGGACTACCTGGCTGCTAACAACATCAATGTCTTGGACTGGCCAGCCATGTCTCCGGACATGGCACCGATAGAACATGTCTGGAATGAGATTCGACGCCGTCTGTATCGGAGACCACAGATGTACACCATTGCTGCTTTAGAAGCTGCTCTTGTCCAAGAATGGAACAATTTGCCCCAGGCCTTCTTTCAAACATTGGTAAATTCCATGCGACGTCGCTGCACAGCGTGCGTAAGAGCCCGTGGAGGACTCACGCGCTACTGACATCTGTGTCGTACTTTTGGTTTTGACCCCTCTGACTTTGTACCGTTGATTACAGATTAAACATCCATAAGTGTACAAATGTGTTGTTATTGATGTGTTCCCATTTGAATATTGTTCACAATAAGAAGCAAAATAAATAAGATATGTTTACAGGATCATTTTGTTATACGAAAAACTAAGTGATGCGTTTTCCATGGCGCTCAGCATAACAATACACACGATATAAACGTCATTTCTAAACATTACAAAAAGGAAAATCATACAATCAAAATATAATTTTAAGAAAGAAAATAGCATATATTTTAAAATCATACAATCAAAATATAATTTTAAGAAAGAAAATAGCATATATTTTAAAAAAACCAAAACGTACATATATTGAGAAAAATTAACATAGGATTTTGTCATTTTGTTTTTTACTCGAGATAAATGATAATACATGATTTGAACACATTTTACCAATCATAAAGGGTCAATCCCGATAATATTTTGGAGAATAAAACTGCCTAATTTTGTATTAAAATCCCTTAAAATCCTCTACATTAGGGCCGAGCAACTAACTCAATATGTGTGATACGTTTTCAAACAACTTAAATCCGTCAGTCTTCATCTGGAAATGGAGACCGGTGTCCCAAGCTGTATTATGCAGTGTCTGGATAAAACCAGACTTTTATTTTATAAGAATAATGTGTAGGTGAAATTTACCTTTCGTTATCAAGTATAGCACATGGGTCATTCACTGTATAAACCTCAAAAGGAACGGGAATCGATTATCAGGTCACCCATCGAAAACGAAAAAATTGACCCGAAATCTTAAAAGGGTTACGTGCCCGGATAAGCAGTTTTGATGTTCATGTCGAAACGACTCGGTATTTTGAGCTAAAATTTTGAGACGGGGTAAATACACCATTTCAGTTGAGAAACCTTTTGTAGCAATATTTGGGGGGTTGAAGGGGTATTTTCCATATATTAACCTAACTAGAGAGATAATACAATATACAGTAAATGGTGTTTAACGTCCCGCCATTCTGTACCGACTTAATTAATTAATATATGTTTGTTGCACACTATGACATTATTATTACACAAAATTAGGCGATGTAATATAGGCTTCGTCATGATATTTGAAAGCAACCAATTAAATCAACCTTGGCCACCCTTCTTACCTGAAAAACAGAAAATGTTAATTGAGATTAGAAAAGAAAATGTTAATTGAGTTTAGAAAAGAAAATGTAAAATGAGTTTAAACAGAAACATACGTGTAGATATTAAAATAGATATTACTTTATTAAAGTAACCATGCTAATATGTACTCAGATTGATTATTTAACATTTTATAAGGGGATATTTCTGAAAGAGAGAGAGAGAAATGGAGTTTAACGTCAACTCGACACAAACTAGGTCATTTCGGGTCTAACATATGATTTAATTTTATTTCAATAATTCGCTTGCGCGTAAGGGTCTTTAGCAGTGGGAGGAAACCGGAGGACCCGGAGAAAAAACCCACGAGGTTGGCCACCCTACTCCTTGTCACGTACAACCGGGGATTCAAAAGCACGCCAGTTTACTCAATGACAGACTTTATGATACAGCGTGCACACGGTAACCATTCAGCCATCCAACCCCCTGATATGATACAGCGTGCACACGGTAACCATTCAGCCATCCAACCCCCCGATATTTCTGAATGTATTTATCTATTAGATCGAGTAACTAGGTCATTTCGGGTCTAACATATGATTTAATTTTATTTCAATAATTCGCTTGCGCGTAAGGGTCTTTAGCAGTGGGAGGAAACCGGAGGACCCGGAGAAAAAACCCACGAGGTTGGCCACCCTACTCCTTGTCACGTACAACCGGGGATTCAAAAGCACGCCAGTTTACTCAATGACAGACTTTATGATACAGCGTGCACACGGTAACCATTCAGCCATCCAACCCCCTGATATGATACAGCGTGCACACGGTAACCATTCAGCCATCCAACCCCCCGATATTTCTGAATGTATTTATCTATTAGATCGAGTAAGTTATATTTATGAAGAGATTATTTCTGTATTTATCTATTGAAGACTGTAATCATTATTAGACGGATTTTAAATCATGAAAATTAAAACATCGTGGAAGCTGAATTACAACACTATTATATCAAAAGTTCCAATTTGCAATATTTCCAAAGAGCATGTATGCCCACTTACTTCTAGGTTTTCTCAGGAAGATACACACGACGACAGAAACACAAAGAACAATGATCAACACACCAAATACAATGGAGGCAGGTATACAGCCGTTGAGTCGGACTGTTTCATACACAGGTCTATCATATGACGAATCTGAGAAAAAAAAAATAAACATTTGTTCATTCTAGAAAACTATATATTTTGACTATTTCAAGCATATCTCAATCTGATTAAAACACGGATCCAATTTCGTTTCGTTTTTATAGTTCAAAATTTCGATTTTACTTGTCTTTACTACACATGGATCTGGAAGCGTTGTTATTTAACTCGTGTTCTGCTTGAAATGAGGGGTCAGCCAATCAAATGGTCTGTCGAATCGAGCGTTTGACCTTTTTTGCGTGGAACTGTGGGTAGACATTAGCGGCAATAGAAATGCAAACAAAGCAAAAGTAGATAAAAAATACATGGCGGTCGCTAATTGGTTAATCGAATGACTGACGTAATCGGGTCAAATGTCGCTTGCTTGGTACCTGACGTCATAGAACGTGAATTCCCACTATATAGAGGATATTTGTCGTTTTAGAGTGAATAACATTTTATTTCATCGAGATGCAAGAAAACTTATATTTTCACGAATGCGTAGCATGATAGAAAATATAAACGTTTTCTTGCTTAGAGATGAAATAAAATATGTTATTCAGGACAAAACGACAAATGTTCTATTTATTTTATGATTTTACAATCATTTTAGGCAAAAACAACATGGACTACTGCTAGCCAGTGGAATAACACTTTTATTTCACTGATAAAACGCGGTATTCCACTACTGATCATAAAATAAAACTTGTTAGATCTACATGTAGTGTAGGCCATCGAAAGTATAAAAAATGAAACTAAATATAGATCTATATTATAAATAGATTGAGCATATCTAGTCAATTGGAAAATGTACAGTCAAACGAGTGAAACGTGCCAATTTAATGTCTTCTCTATAGTTAGGGATGTTTGATGACAGAATCGTTTAACGAGTACGTGTAAGATCGCAAGGTCTGGCATTGAGTCAAGTGACTTAGTTTCGCTTCCCTGTTTGTACGTGACAAGGAGTAGGATCGACTGGCCAACCTCGTGTGTTTCCTCCCATTTCCTCCGACAACTAAAACCTCAAATGACCAATTAACACTGTGTTGTTAAACTATGTTTATATATTTCTATAACACAAGGAACTAAACACACAGCTAATGACATTAAATATAAGCTAAATATAATATAATTTGTGGCGAAGCTACGCTCTTCTTTCTAAGTATACGTAATGATCTCTCCCGGTCTGTAAGTCGAGGCGACTAAAGGTATGCCACACTGATCCGCAGTGAATTTTCGCTAGGCCGCTACAATCACTGATAAGGAGAGAGAGAGAGAGAAATGGGGTTTAACGTCCACTCGACACAAACTAGGTCATTTCGGGACTAGCATATGGTTTAATTTTATTTACATAATTCGCATGCGCGTAGGGGTCTTTAGCAGTGGGAGGAAAACCCACGAGGTTGGACAGGCGACCCTACTCCTTGCCACGTACAACCGGGGATTCGAAACCACGCCAGTCGACTCAATGACAGACTTTATGATACAGCGCGCGCACGCTAACCATTCAGCCATCCACCCCCCCCCCCCCCACTGATAAGGATGACATCGATGCGACTTAATGAGTCCCAAATATTAACTTTTTCTTCGGTCAAATTAAATTCTAAAATTGTTCTTTTAGACGACTATATATACATGGAGTTATATTATCCGGGGTTTATGCCGCACGTTTGACTATTTCACATACTAAATCATTTAGTAAAAAGGAAATTTTATCATTGTTACACGACTGTAGTATATAAGGAAAAATCTTCGAAAAACACCGAAAATTATCGAATATTACCGAACACTCACCGAAAAAATTAGAAAAAAACCTTAATACCGAAAAAAGAACACTAATTACCGAAAACTCCCGAAATACTGAAAAATTAGGCTTCCCACAGGTTTTCCGGGCTTCAAGCTTCCAAGCCCCCGCTTGTATTGTCCCCAGTAGGGTTTGCCGGGACCTGATGTGAGCCCCCACTGGGTTCTTGGCACCAGTGGATCCCTGGGTCAGCCCATTGAACACAACTGAACACCTTTTGGGACCCATCAACCCCACTGGAGTCCAGGCCCCGAGTTCACAAAGCGTTGTCAGATGAAAGTTAAGATTTTACTCAAAATTGTTCGTCTTATTTTAACTAAAATATAGCTCTTTATAAAACTTTTGTTGTTTCAATGTATAAAATACATCAATAAGAAACTATGTGCAAAGGTTTGTGTTTCTGGATCAAAGATATTTCTCATAAACAGTAATTGAAAGTTGAGTAAATTCTTAACTGAAGTCTGAGAATGCTTTGTGAACGTGGGGCCTGAGAAATGGTTCTAGGAAAATTACCACCTTGCAACCGCCCCCTGTCAATCGATGCCCCCACGAATTGTGTGCACTCTAAGGTCATGCATAAATATAGTGGGTCCCTCTATAGGGAGGTCATGGATCAAGGTAGGTCCCACATAAGAATTGTATGGAGCGGAATTTTTCGGTGTTCAGTATAGCTCTTGGCACAAGCATGTACATATATTACTTTTTAGGTCTCTGCAAACTAAAATATGCTATTTCCGTTACAACGTAATGTTTGGGTACGTAGTTGGCCTACTAGTTGTAAGCTGTGACGATAACAGAAGTATTAAACAACAGTACTCCACCTACTATGGACCAGGAACTCAGTATGACGTCATTCCTGCCATCTTGGAAATGTTACGTCATAAAAATCAAAGTCCAAGGAAATAGAATGAAATGGGGTTTAACGTCCTACTGTTCTGCTCCTAAACTGGGCTAATGAAGACGGACATACGCCATACAGTGTGCTATGTCGGGAATTTGGCCCGGATATCGAATTCCAACTGTCAAGGGATCTTTTACGTGCACGCCATGGAATGCACAGGGCCTCGGTTTTTCGTAACCTGGCCCTTCGTACTGCATCGCTGACAAAGGGAAACCACGCCGGAAAATCCGGATGAACTTTCTCAGCCAATCCAGGTATCGAACACCCGACCTCCAGGCTAGCGAGCCAGCGTCTTACCTACTTAGCCACCGCGACCCCCATTAGTAGTAGTAGTAGTAGTAGTAATAGTAACTCACCTGGGCAATCTACCCTGATGTCCTTCTGCTGAATAATCGAGTTTTTAAGGATGATTTGACAGGTGTACAGTACATTTAAATCATTTCTACGGGCGTTCATCAATTTCAACTCGACCCTTTCTCCGTATAATCCTGAGTAATCTATAATATAGATATTATACCAAACTAAATATAGAAAACAAAATCTCTCTCTTTCTCCCCTCTTCCTCTCTCTCTCTCTCTCCCTCGGAGATGCGGACAACGGCAGATATAGACCTACCTTGCTTGATATCAATTCTGTTGAACATGACTCTCCCTTGAAAATAAGTTGTTGGTGTGAAATTATTTTGCTTCTCAGCCCAGATGCCGATTACTACATCCTACAAAACGAAAAATATTTGAAATTTATTGAATCCTTAAAGCTGAACTCCGATTACAAAACTACAGAAATAAAAAAAAGTGCTTTAAAGGTCCAATGGGTGGGGCAGACCAATGGTGACATTTGACCTATTCAGTATGGGGTCAGTCCCCACATTTTTCCCAGGGGACCCCAAGGGACATTTTGATACCTATTTTATGCGTGTACTGAAGGTATGTACTGAGATATGCATTTAAAGTGTATTGGGCGCTGCCGGTCAATGGTACCCTTTGACCTACTCAGAAGAGGGTTAATCCCTAACATAGACTACTCAGGGGGATTCATATGGCCCCAAAGGATCACAAGTAACACTTTGATACCTTTTTTGTGCCTGTACTGAAGGTATGCACCGAGAATTGCATTTAAGGTATATTTGGCTTGGTACTCGGAGATTTTAAGGTGTCCCAAGGCACTGTTTGACACTCATTTCGTGCTTGTTCTGAGGTTTACGTTTAAGGTAGTTTTGGCGTGGCCGACCAATATGACCTTTCACCTATTCAGAAATAGGTCAATTCCCCAGGCTTACTAAGAAGAATTTATATTGTCATTGCGGATCCTAAGGATCATTTTGACACGGCGTCGTTGATGTAATCGTGATGTGTTACAAAACTTATAACGACCCTGGTGTTGTCCCCAAAAGCGTAACTTAAACATACATTATGCAAGAGCTAAATATGTCTATTGCAGGTATTTCTTTAGGCCTGAAATGGTATCTAAATTATTAATTAGACATTAATTAACCTATCCAGACCATAATGAACTCTAGATGGCATCGCCAGCCTGTGATCTTTACTGGATTATGAGCCGATTTACTGCATAACTTTCCTTCACGATTTAACGATTAAATGGATAATCAAGACTATGCTGTTTATCGTACTGACTTTAGTAATGATGATCAAGGCTAGCCGGAAATTTCAACCGCTTAGTTCTCGGTTCATAGTGGATCAATTTAAATGAAATTTTCAGCAACTTGCCTTTACATTATCTAGCTTTTAACTTTTATAGTGAGAACTGCCAACTCGTTATCGAATCTCCCATAATGTGTCTTTAAGAGTTGCTTTTTTGAGGATCCCGATCATATATCTACTAATTCTAGTCTTCTAAAATTTTGTATTCAAGATAATAATTCAATCTTTGTAAGCTGCTTGACTAATAGTTGCCCAATCAGATGTTTATGTTCAACTTCTACTAAGACAGGCTGTGAGATGTTATTTCAAAATGGCGGCGATTGAACGAAAACAAGTCGGCTTCCACGGTCTAAAGCGAAATCCTCATTTATGACGTCATTTACGTGGAGTTCCCCGAAACATTCAGTGACTTTAAGTAAACATAGAAATACAAGAAATGGCAACGTTTTCCATCTGGCGAAATCGCAGTACATTGAAAGCGTTTTCATCGGTTACATGGAAACGGTCACATTACATTTGCATTAAACCGACATTAATGCCAAGTTGCCACCATCTCGATTCGTGGTACGATGGGAGAGAAATGGGGTTTAACGTCCACTCGACACAAACTAGGTCATTTCGGGACAAACACATGGTTCAATTTTATTTCAATAATTCGCTTGCGCGTAGGGGTCTTTAGCAGTGGAAGGAAACCGGAGGACCCGAAGAAAACGCACGAGGTTGGACAGGCGACCCTACTCCTTGTTACGTACAACCGGGGAATCGAAACCCCGCCAGTTGACTCAATGACAGACCGTATGATACAGCGCAGCGCGCACGTGCTAACCATTCGGCCATCCAACCCCCATGGTACGATGGAAATCGTGGTTCAATCGTGTATTATCAGGTCTTACCATATACTGAGGTCTGTCGCAGCAACCGTGTTGACCGTATCGAAACACGTCCGAACGCATCTGCACGTAGCTGATCATGGACTCAATAGGGGCAATCCTATCGTAACGCATCGCTGGACAGTGGGAACCAAGCATAAAATGGGCCTTAAGAGATTTACCTCTGTTTTAATTAGAACCATGCTTGGCGACGAGTCTGCTTGATATTCCCATAGTAACGATATATCTTCTCCTTCCTTGACCTGCAGCAAACCATCCTCTATAGGAGATGTCCAGATGAATTCTTCACCTGTTAAAAACATGAAAAATGACATGAAATGATGGATAAAATCTGAGTAAAACTGTAATTTGTGGATAAACATCAACCAGGAGTGTCAGGTGGCCTAAGCCATGAAAGTAGAGGAGATTTCCCCGAGAAGATGGGGGAAAAGTAGGATTTGACTTTCCTGGAAAGACCAAATTCATCGGGGTATTAAAAATAATATTTATGTGTTAATAATGGATATATTTATTTCATTCCCCGGGAATTATAATTAATATCCATAAAATCTAAAAATATGTCAAATATTTGTTACTTACCATTGATCATTACTGCACAAACTAACAGCAAGACACGGAAATTAACCGCCATTTTTCTTATACACTCGTATTCTATAAGAATAAATATTTTAAATCTTAACCTTTTGAGAAATAAATAAACACCTCGTAACTGCGTAAGTTTGGTTTTCATTAATTAGTTTTTGTCTTATATAAATATTTGCTTGCAAAACAAACAATTATAGATAGGAGTTCAGTTTAAATGTTTGTAATTTGGCCTTAAATACCTGAACTAGAGGTTTACAGCTACCTGTAGTAAATATAATGTAGGGTCTAATTGAAAGCGTATGTGGGTGTGGGTTTATAGTTTAGTGGAAAAAATCACGGGGTTTCAATGCGATTTACAAAACTCCGAACAAATTCTGGTCTCCATTACTTCATAACCATATTGCACAACCAATGTCAAACAAATCTCCTGGATCATCAGACTAAACACCCACTCACCAACCCTCGCAGGCCCCGTGGGACCCCATTAACGATTTAAATATTGGGCCTGTGTGCCATCATCTCCTGGATGCCTACCATTCAATATTCTAAAGCACGTTGACTTGCACAATTGCCTATATCTTATTTCTCAATGTTAGCATTATTTAATCTCTGTAAATGGCTTCATCATGCATATCTTATATATTAACCTCAAGTGTACTAAAAGATGTCCCAAACATCAAGGGGGGGGGGGGGTGGATGGCCGAATGGCTGAATGGTTAGCGTGTGCTCGCTGTATCATAAAGTCTGTCATTGAGTCAACTGGCGTGGTTTCGATTCCCCGGTTGTACGTGACAAGGAGCAGGGTCGCCTGTCCAACCTCGTGGGTTTACTCCGAGTCCTCCGGTTTCCTCCCACTGCGAAATGTTGAAATAAAATTAAACCATATGTTAGTCCTGAAATGACCTAGTTTGTGTCGAGTGGACGTTCAACACCATTTCTCTCTCTCTCCCCAAACACCAAGTAGTTTCTTATCTTCAGATAATTCTATTGTATCACTTACCTTGCTTTGTCTTATAGCTCGAATTCAACTCCCGAGATTTATCAAAATATGTGATTTACCCTTCTGTGATATAGTAACACCTGTTTTACAAAGACATGTGATATGTCTCAGTTTTAGAATCCCCAAATAAAGCAATAAACATGATGACGCATAGAAATAAAGGCAGGTAACCTATAATATGACTGAGTAAAGCAGTCAAATCATGGTTAAAAGATGTGCCACGCCCAACATCCAACAGAACCGAATCAAATCTTCGACCATAAATTCTCCTCATCAGACCATTCTAACTATTAACTTACCCTGTCTTCTAGCTCGAATCCTACTCTCGCAAATGATCAAGATAAGTAAATTATTTCCCGTAATATGTAAGCTATTCGTGTTTTTTTTTACTTGATCGACACTTTATCTACCAGTCTAATGCGATGACTATTATCTAACTGTTGTATTATCTCCTTTATAATGAATCATATCGACACGCGAAAAAAGTTGAATTATAACGTCATAATAACGTATAGAAAATAAAACGGAATTACTATTATAGTATCATCCCATTGTATAACTCTCATAAGTGGGCGCTTGTAACCCATTGAACTCTATCTGCACCACTTAGCATCTAGGTCACAACAAATATGTTTTGTTCTTCCCCCTTTTGATGATTAACAATAAACCTGATTTTATATAACACGTCATTTAATAGACCTTAGGTTGAATAAGAGAGTGAGAGAGAAATGGGGTTTTTCATTCACTCGACATAAACTAGGTCATTCCGGGACTAAAATATGGTTCAATTTTATTTCAGTAAATCGTTTGCGCGTAGTGGTCTTTAGCATGGGAGGATACCGGAGGACCCGGAGAAACCCCACAAGGCTGGACAGGCGACCCTACTCCTTTTTAGCGTACAACCGGGGAATCTAAACCACACCAGTTAACTCAATGACCGATCTTATGATACAACGCTCACGCGCTAACCATTCGATTATCCAGCCCCCCAGTATGGATCTAGACCTAAAGCGAATTTTTTAAAATAAAACTGAACCATATGTTAGTCCCGAAATGACCTGGTTTGTGTCGAGTGGACGTTAAACCTCATTTCCCTCGAACTGTACATCAACAATATTTGCTTAAATCTGCTGATCGTCATAATTTGAGGGATTTTGAATTCATTGCCACTGATCATCATTTGCATTTCTTAGACTTTGATTACATTTGAGCTAAATCACGAGGGAACAATATATATGTATAATATTTCATTGTGGACTGTATTTCTGTGAGTACATGGGTCACCCTAACATAGATATTTGCATTTCAATATCCCCTACTTTTTTTGAAGAGTATATAGAGGATGTATAATGTATAATATTTCATTGTGGACTGTATTTCTGTGAGTACATGGGTCACCCTAACATAGATATTTGCATTTCAATATCCCCTACTTTTTTTGAAGAGTATATAGAGGATATTTGTCGTTTTAGAGTGAATAACATATTTTATTTCATCGAGAAGCAAGAAAACTTATATTTAAACGTTTTCTTGCTTCTCGATGAAATAAAATATGTTATTCACGACAATCATTTTAGGTAAAAACAACATGGACTACTTTAGCAAGTGGAATAACACTCTTATTTCACTGATAAAACGCGGTATTCCACAACTGATCATAAAATAAATTATTATATTGACGGCCGAGGATACTGAATGATGGAAAATACTGAACAGAATTCAACAGATATTCCGTTTGGACACTCACCTTTTTCAATAGCCATTGTTTGTAGTTAGCAATGAAGTCAAAATGACAATCATCGTCTTTAACTAATTTCCTTGTAAAATATACTTTTAGTACGTAAACCGTATGTGGACAATAAAAATGTAATTATATAGAACGACGCTCTTAAAGGGGCATTAGGTAGGATTAGATAAAGAGCTGACGGTTCCCGCTAAAATCGTCAAAATAAAGATAATGAAATGAAATGAAATGGGGTTTAACGTCCTACTCTTCTGCACCTAACCTGGGCTAATTGAAGACGGGCATACGCCATACAGTGTGCTATGAGGGACATTTTGCCCGGGCAGCGGCGCTACGGCCTACTCTTATATCGAATTCCAACTGCCAAGGGATCTTTTACGTGCACGCCAATGTGTACACGGGACCTCGGTTTTTCGTCCCATCCGAACGACTAGGCAGCTGTCCTTGTCAGGCCCTCCGTTCTGCATCACTGACAAGGGGAAACCACGCCGGAAAATAGATTAGATAAAGAGCTGACGGTTCCCGCTAAAATAAAGATAATGATAAGAGAATAAGCTGAACATTTCAGTCAAATCACTTCGCCCTGAGCCTAGATATTACCGATTCAATTTTAAGCTAGGCTTGATCGCCATTACTACCGTTGTTACGATCATAATCAAAGTCTCGATTATCCGTTTTTACGATTATTTCATCCACAACAAAACGTATTCCAAATCACTAAATATCGCAGGCTAATACGTTTTGCTGTGGATGAAATATGTGACAGTATTGGTTCTTTAATCAGGTTCTTGATTACAAAACTAGTTTAACATCTTATAATACTTTTATTCTACTTCTAATATATTATGTACAAAACTTAGACTCCGTAATTAACTTGTGTTGAGGGAGCCATGTCCTAGCGTGGCTAGGCACGACTGTTCCAACTCCCAACTAACTTACATTACATGGCCGTTGTCCGGTCTTAAACCCAGTCCTGCGTGGCCTGATGTTAATTTCTAGACGCCCTCGCCTAGCCTCCGATTTGTGTCCTGGCCGGACCTGACTGTTGATTCGTTTGTTATCTGGGTTTATAACCCCTTCCAAACAAAGGATCTTATTAGGCATCTGGCTAATGTATCATGTATCATATCAGGTTTAACATTCGATACATGCTAATCAGACAAAGAATGTTTAAATAAAACATGCCAGCAAAGATGCTACTAAGAACTCCAGGGATGTCGATAGAGAGAGAGAGAGAGAAATGGGGTTTAACGTCCACTCGACACAAACTAGGTCATTTCAGGACTAACACATGGTTCAATTTTATTTCAATAATTAACATATGGTTTAATTTTATTTCAATAATTCGCTTGCGCATAGGGGTCTTTAGCAGTGGGAGGAAACCGGAGAAAACCCACGAGGTTGGACAGGCGACCCTACTCCTTGTCACGTACAACCGGGGATTCGAAACCACGCCAGTCGACTCAATGACAGAATTTATGATACAGCGCGCGCACGCTAACCATTCAGCCATCCAACCCCCGGATGTCGATAGCGGACAGGTGTCAAGTTGGCAGGAAGCGTCTATAACATCAGATAATCCTTGATTATGTAACATACCTTCCCTTTTTTTTTGAAAAAAGTAATGGATTATATGAAATAACTTTTTAAGACCATTACACAATTAAATATAAATACGAAAAATAACAATACACTGATTAAAAGTTATATAAACAAAAAAAAAATGTAAATGGCAAACAAATAAAAACACTGGTTGAAAAGTAATAAGATACTGGTTGACAAGATCATACATATATGAAGTGTTCATACACGCGAGACATTGAAATCACATAATTATGTCGTAGATAATTTTACTGTTTACACACGCGAGTTCTTGGAAACTATTAAAAAAAAGTAGGGGATATTTGATTTTGGGGGCATAATACTAAAATATGCAAATGACTACGAAAAAAGTCACTATAGAACCTAACAGAAGAAACATTTCCAGTAACATGTGACGCCCAAACGCACCAATAGCTACCGCATGGAATGCAGGTGATGCTTGGGATCATCATGGGGGTCCAACCCAAGATTTGCACGACTCTGACTTTGAATGTTACAGTCATTGTGGCATTGAATTCCAGGGTGGAAACATCAGTTTAATTGTTTTAGTGACCAGAAAACAAATTTTGATATGCGTCGGCTTACCCAAAATGAAAGGTTACGTGCTCTTGGCATGCTACAGATCGGCACAACACAGGCGTTTGTGGCGCGGACGATGAATGTTTCTCAGTCTGTCATAAGCAGGCTATGGTCCAGATACCGTGATACACAATCTGTACAGGACAGACCACGCTCAGGTCGACCAAGGGCGACAACTCAAGCCCAGGATCGATTTATCCGTACCTTGGCCTTGAGAAATCGTGTCATCACAGCAAATCACATCAGCGCTCGTCTTCAAACAGACACTGGTGTGAGAGTGAGTGGCCAGACGATTCGGAATCGACTGCATAGGGGTCACCTTCGCGCCCGACGTCCTCGCGTGATCCCTTGTTTGAGAGATCATCACATTCAGGCAAGACGTCGTTGGTGTAGGGATCGTCAACACTGGGATAATCGACGCTGGAGCAATGTGATGTTTTCAGATGAGTCAAGGTTCACTGTTGATTTTTTGGACAGACGTAGGAGGGTGTGGCGTCGTCGAAACGAGCGCTTCCAAGACGTTAACGTCATCAGACATGATCGATTTGGGGGTGGTTCTGTTATGGTGTGGGGAGGCATCACTGTTGCTGGAAGAACGGCTTTACATGTTGTTGCAGGGCGTGTTACAGGCCAGTACTACCGGGACAACATCTTGGCAGTCCATGTTGTGCCGTTCGCACGACGTCATGGCCGCCGTTTCATCTTCCAGGATGACAACGCAAGATGTCACAGGGCCAGGATCGTTACAGGTTACCTCCAACAACAGAACATCACCACATTACCTTGGCCAGCACTGAGTCCCGACCTCTCCCCCATCGAGCATGTCTGGGACATGCTTGGACAGAGGTTACGTCAACGTCAACAACGTCCTGCCAATGTCCAAGAACTTGCTGCTGCGTTGCAACAGGAATGGGACAATCTGGACCAAAATGACCTTAGACGTCTCATTAGGAGTATGCCACGTCGGATCAATGCTTGTTTGGCAAACAGAGGAGGATTTACCCGTTACTGACTTGGTTGTGATGCTGTGGTAACTTTGCTGTTTGACCCCGGGTATCATTTTACCCTTATAATGGTCAGTCTGTGCCTTACTTAGTCTAACGATCATTTGGAATAAATCGATGAATGTGAACTTCATTTCATTTTGTCATTTGTTTCTTCGTCAGTTTCATTAGGTGACTTTAATAACACTTAAAAATCAAATATCCCCTACTTTTTTTGAATAGTATATAACGCAAACTATTCTAATTTGCACACACGCGAATCACTTAAATCACATATATATAAATTATTCTTATGGTAACACACGCGAATATATAATATAAATTATTGTAATGGTCGCACGCGCAATGTAGAAATTATATCCACTTTCTTCTTCCGTACATCGTCGTTGTGGTCAACTGTAGGGAGATACAATTTCATTTTTTTTTCTTTTATTCCGTCGTCTTCTTCCTCGTATAAGTTTCCCGTAATGGCAAGGGTCAGTGTTTTCCGGTAGTCTTATCTTTTCCATATCGCCTGGCCGGAACGGTGTGTTATGATATGTGCTATGAGGAGTATTATAACTGTCACCAAAGTTTGATCATTTGTTTATCATATCATATCAAATTAGCAAGTGGAACATACTTAAATTAGCTATCTAACGATATTTACATTATTATTTACATGGATAGAATTGAAATTAGGATGTCATATTGTTTTATCTCGAGATAAAGAATAATGAATGATCTAAACACATTTCACCAATCTTCAATAAGATATTTTGAAAGAACTTATCAAAATTAATAACGGTTTATCTCTATAATTTTCGAACATTACACAAAACAAAACATCACATTCGCTTCTAATTTAAGCGCGGGCATATAAAACCACTCAATCGCTCTTGAGGAATTAATATAAATAAAATCTCTCCCAAACCTTCGGGGCATCCCATTAATATCTGGGGTACATCAAAATATAAATAAAATCTCTCCCGTAAATATCGGGCCATCCCATTAATATTTGGGGTACTACATTACATCACAAATAATAATCTCTCCCGTAAATATCGGGGCATTCCATTAAGATTTGGGGTAATATACACGTATAGACAAAACAAAAAAAAAACCGCGTTAATACTTTGTGAATGTTATTAGGTTAAATTCCAAATTACGACACTATTAACCAAATTCTAGTTAAACAATCACAAAACATTTAACCTGTTAATACTAATTTTAAATGCCAAAATATGTGTTAAAAAACCCCCAAAAAATTCTCTGTAAAATCTCTGTCTTGCACCCGTTCGTTCGTTCCTGGAGTTTTACGTCCACTTCCACCAAGGGTGGTATCGTAGACAAGTGTTTCCTAATAAACTTACCAGAGGAAGCTACAGTCTTGCATACGGTCTATAGAGGAATATGACGTAGTGAAATATTTCCCGTCCTCATTTCGGGCCATTAACCACAACATACATGTATTATTCAGCTGCTATTGTTACAAAGTTAACCATATCACACACTTTAAAATCCTTAACAATCATAGGTGATAAGGTGCGGCATTATACCGATGTTAATACAGTATTTAAGTACAACGCAGTTTTGTTTATAACTAAGCTAAAGCTAAAGCATGACAACGTATTTCTACCCTTACCTGATATACTCAAACTGGAATATTTAACACTCTCTGGTCCTGAGGTATGTGTAGCACCTTTGCGGAGAATTGGTATTTTGAGTGGTGTCTTTACGATTTCATAGAAGACAACAGTTCTTTTGTTTTAATAGATTTAATGGAATTATTCCCTGATACTGATGCAAGATGAAATTGAACTGGTGCAAAGCGGAACTAACAACAATATTCAATACCAAATTATGGTTTCAAGTGTTGGAGAGCTTTCAAAGGGACATAATTATAGTCTTGGTTTGATTAGTCCCCTTACACCCCCCTCGGATAGCCCTGAGAAATGAAAATTTAAAAAAAGAGTTATCGCAATATGTGTCTTTGGTAATTGAGTTCTTGTACAATGGGAAATAGAACACATTATAATTATAAATGAACACAAACATTGAAAATAACATAAAACGGATAAGCAGCACCCATTGTCAACGATTCTCGGAGACCCATAACTTGTTTCAAAAATACAATGACAATGCTTAAAACGGATTATGAAATATTGTCGTTATCTTGGGTTAATTGAGTTATCCATCCTTTTCGTTTGATATCTGCCGAATAGACATGGCAAGGTTTGGGGGCGTTTGGAAAAGTGGACCTTGAAAAATTTATGAAACATTTTCTTTTTATTTTGCTGGAACAATAATAATTTGTCCTATCATCTTGTAAGATGTGGGGAAAACATATTCTACAAAATATTATTCTGTGGTGTTTTTCTTCACAAGAGTTTCACAATATATTGGACTTAGAAAAAAACCAATTTTTTACTTTCAAAAATTTCTTCTCAGACCCCCAATATGCCTATGTGCTACCACATTCCACAAAATTTTCGACTTAGAATAATTTTCATATAGTGTTTTGGGTCTGTGGCGTTTTTCACCACAAGAGTTCCACAAGAAACTGAACAGAAAAAATATTTTTTTCAAAAATTTCTACTCAGACCCTCTATATGCCTGTGTGGTACCACATTCCACAAGATTTTTATATAGTGTTTTGGGTCTGATGTCCAATTTCTTGTGGAACTCCTGTGGTGAAAAACAAAACACCACAGACCCAAAACACTCTATGAATATTATTTTAAGTCGATAATCTTGTGGAATGTATTTCTTTTCAGATACCCAATATCTTGTGAAACTCTTGTGGTGAAAAGTTCCACACAAATGCCCCAAAACCTAAACCTTGCCGACACGGCTTCTTTACGGCGTGGACGTTGAGTTTCTGGTTCAACGGTTTCGGCTTATCGTGGATCTGTATCTATGACTACTGGGTTGGCGGTTTCTAACTTACTTCCAATGGTTACAGCAATTAGATTGGACGATGGATAATTTTCCATTAGTACTGACTTAGACTATGGCACCTCGCGAAAGTCCATCATCTCCTGCAATGAGTTTCTCCACTTTTCAAATTTTCCAAAGACTACGTGGTTAGATGAATGACTTCGATGAGAACTACTAAGTTCTAAAAGATATTTTCACCATGCGTGACTTAATATCATGGATAAGTGATTAAGTCTTTTGCACATTTCGTTTGGTGCCACTGGATTAAAATCCACTATATGTACATGTATTTAATTATGGACTTAATAATTTCCACATATAGTGACAATGTTCTTGATTAAATAGAATTTGCACAGTTATCTATACGAGGGTATATAAGACCCTGTGTATGGTGTAATTAAAGAGACGCAGACGAAAGACGAGCGGGGAGGTGACGAGAGGGGCAGAGACCGGCTAATGGGATCATCCTAGTTCAGCCGCTGACGGGAAAGAAGGGCGGAAAGGTTATCTTAATGCAGTTTATGTAACTGTTTTATAATTTGTTCCCGATGTAAAAAAAATAGTGTGTCAATATCTGTTATATATGAATGAACATTTCGGTTAGATGATTAGACAAATTGCTCCAAAATAGGGTGTATGCGCATTAATCAGAGGAAAAGGGACAATGGATACAATTACTTTGGTTTAAACATTACTTTTATTCAAGTACATAAAGATTATTTACAACACTGATGTAATGGATTAGAAAACAAGCCGAAGCTTATATAAATTCCTCTCCATGTAAATTATAAATTTCATTAACATTAATCATCAATCACCATCACCTGGTAATTCTTATTTATTCAAAGCGTTTAGTTAGTTTAAAATAACTTCGTTGTACGAGATACTTTCGTTGGGATCCCCATAAAGAAAAGCTTTTGAGTGTTTGGATTTAAGTGGAAGGGTATTTAATGTTGTGATATGCTGAGTGGCATAATTGGGGCTTTGCAGAAAATAGTGATCGCTCTTTTCTTGGATATGACCACATCTGCATGTCGGATTATCAGAAATATGCATTAAAAATCGATGGAAATTTAGAGCACTTTTACAGTTACGAAGTCTAGAATGGATAATCTGAAATTTACGTTCACCATAGTTATAATATTCGGGTATTTTATGGTCATTCGCACTTAATTTAATTTTGAAATTTTGAATAGTTTTGAATGTGACGAGAAAGGCTGTTCCAAAGTTCAACAGTTGAAGGTAAGAAGGAGTTTTTATAATAATTAGTGTTAGCAGCAATATGTTCCAATTCATTGTTATTTCGAACAGGGTAAGGATTTACATCAGAAATTGTAGGTGGTACAGAAGGCTTAAAAAGGGAGAAGCCATTTTATTGACCATTTTATACATTAGAATGATCTTGTGCCTTATACGTCTTGTTGATAGTGGGTTATATCCAGATTCATAGTAGAGTACGATATGGGAAGTGCCGCGAACAAGACCTGTTATTGTTCTCAGTGCATCTAAATGGAAATTTTCTAATTTTAAGGACTCAAATTTGTTACACATGTCCCAAACGACGTCAGCATAGTCAAATAAGTGTGAGATGAATGCATTGTAAATAATTTGTAGAGACTTACGAGAAATACGATATTTTAAGCCACGGAGACAGTCAATAGAGCGTTTAACTTTAGATATTACATATTCAATATGGTTGTCCCACTGACAATTACTTTGTAAAATAAGACCAAGATGTCTGTGGTATATCGACTCCTGAATATTTATGTTGTTAAAATTTAATTCAAAAGAGGTTTGGAATTGTTTTCTAGAGAATGTCATTGAAACTGTTTCCGGGGGTTAAATATTACTTTCCATTTAGTCGACTAGTTTTTAATCAAATTTTAAACTTAATTTAATACATTTTCACATTCGCCTAGGTTTTCAGGTGTTAGATACAACGACGTATCGTCTGCAAATAAACGTTTATCACCCAATAATACATTCTACAGTAGATATCGCTTGTGTGATATATTTCATAATCTCCTTAGGAGATATCGTTTTATATGAATTTGATTGATCAGTTGAAAAGGAACTACTTTTTTTATTTTCAAAGAATAGTTCATTTCTTATTAAAAGTATTTTTTTTTATTAAAAATGAACTATTGTTATTCAATTGACCTTGATGGAAACACTCGTTGATAAAGTAAAAAAATACTCGGCAGAGCCTCGTTTTTTGTTACTTTATCAACTTGTGTTGATATTGTTTGATATCAAAAAAGACTGGTAGGAGATTCTCTATATATTAGAATTGATATTTTCAGTAACATAATTGATATAAATAAGGAAAGTGGACCCAAAAACGATTCCTGGGGAACACCCGTGGCTATATTATTTAAATTAGAACTTTCGCCTTTAAGAACTACTGATTGTTTTCTAGTCGACAAATAATCTAATATGAGGTAACCCTTTACCTCGGATACCGATACGACTCAGTTTGTGAATCAAACCCTTATGCCACACACGGTCGAATGCTTTGTTAATATCACAAAAGATGGTTTTTATTTCTTTACCGTTATCGAGAGCTGAAGAAATATAAACATACATGTCAATTAATTGATAAGTGGTACAGTCGTTTATTCTAAAACCCGATTGTAACCGCCTGAATAGATGATTAGTTAATAAAACAAATGTGTATATCTTTGTAAATTAGTCTTTCAAAGACTTTTCCAAGTAGACTTAATAATGGATTGTTTACATTGTAAAAGGAAATGGCTGGCGGTTTCAGTTGGATATCCACAATTACACCGAGGGCTATTATTCAATGCCATGTAATTCGTAATTAGACGGGTTTTGTTTAGTAAGCCAATGTGATTCACTCGCCATTTTCTAATGTCTACAATATGCTGTAGATTTTAACCTATTATTCTAAATGTAGATACCATAAGCATGCGCGTGTTGTGTCATCTGCTGTAATAGTTAAGGTTTATACGTTAGATCACTCGTATAAATAAAAATATCATATACATGTATACTACTTTCTGTTGGCCATATAAACAACTATTATATTGTTCATAAAACAATAGATATTCGGTGCCTTAAAACAGGTTGATACTCGCCAGAAATACAGCTATCTGTCTTTAATGATAACTGATGAATAAGTTGATATGCCCGTGTAAATAGAGCTACTAATAAGGAAGAATTTCAGTTTCAATATTGAATAGGCCTATCTCTATAGTTGATTTGGGTACAGGTAGCGGTGTGTTGGCATATTTGTGTCATGGCCAACGATTTTAGCATATCACGTATTAGCATATCTGAAATATGTATGTCTGACACTATATGAGAAAATAATTGAAATCCTGAGATATTGTTTTGGAAAGGGGGCACAAGAACTGAATAGGGCACATCAATTCTAAAGCCACGACGTAAAGCGCGTCAATGCATAGCCCCTGGATAGTTTTGCCCTCTCAGCGGCTATCCCGCCTACTCTTCGGCAAATTCAAACTGTCAATGAGCAAACGGTGGTCCGAGGTTTTTGACCCCTTCCAAACCACTAGGAAACACTTTTCTTGTCAATCCCGCTACTTTTGACATGTTGGAGCCGGACGTGGTCTAAAATGGAGCATTTTGTTTTACATTGCCTCGTCCCTTGTTATTTGAATAACATAGAAGATGATTTTAGAACATAATTAGGTATATTTTCGCCTTTACGCTAGACAAAAGCAGCCCCCACCCCCATTATGTAAGGAAATGATTGGCGGTTTCGGTTGGATATCCAATTACACTTAGGTCTATTAATCCATTTAACTTTATGGGAATCTGAGAAACGCATTCTGGTATGCATGACATGTTCTTTCCTGTTTCCGTTTTGAACAAACAAACTGGGCGCTAAAGTGTCAGTGTTAGTACAGTATAATTTGGATTGGTTTATAGCAGGAATTGTTTTAACAGATGCGAGTAATTAAGTTGTTCCAATTTTTTTTTACAGTTTGAGGATAATTGTTTTTTTTTTTTATATAATATGAATTTACAAAAAGGAACAGGGATATCACCATCGTTACGTAGTTTGTAATTATATGTTATCGTGTAGAGCTCTGTTAACTTATCTGTATAAAAGTGTAGTGGATTGTTATAATTAATTTTATAACAATTATAGTTTATATATACAAGAAACCAGAACGGACACAATACAGAACCCTGGGGAACTCCCCGAAATAAAGCAGTAAGGTTGGTGTTCAGTCGGAAATATTGAGGTCTAACGCCAAACTGGCGGGAATTTAGTAGATTGTTACAATGACAATAATTTTGGATATGTTTATAAACTTCTTTTTCAAGTAATTTACAGACGGCACTTAACAACGATATGGGTCGATAATTCGTAACAATCGTATGTAGGTTAGTGCATGTATGTGACAAAGGGTTCCGTAACTTCATCAAATTTACTATATTATAAAATACGAACGATTATTTAGATGCATTGAACTTATTGAACTGGTTTTGATAATATATGATATTGAATTTTCAACTATACAAAAAATTTGTTTAAACAAGTACTCGCTGTGTTATATTAAAGATTTAATCACGTGTAATTGACAACCCACATATGATCTGTATACAACGCGGTAATAAATATACCTTCTCATCTAGCCTCTGCCTATTCTCCATAAAATGGAAATCGTTAATTCAAATATATAACGACCTCCTCACCAAGCCTTTGCCTATTCTCTATAAAATAGAAATAGTTAATTCTAACGCCAAGGTGTATCTATTTTTAGTAACAAATTTCATTATTTATCTCCAGTATAACCTACTTTATGGACCTCCTCCAATGATCGGGGTGTCTGCAAAATAGCTCCATATTTAGTTCTCAATCGGCCTACTTTGAAGTTTAAAATATATATTCTTACATAATACATTTTAAAATATTTATACTTATAGATAAAGAAGTCAAAAACGAGTGCATCATCAACCTGATTTACTAAAAAAAAAGAATGGCGACGATTCTGATTTTACTGTTAGTTCGTGCAATAATGACCAATGGTAGGTAACAAATATTTTACATATTGAATTATTAATACATGGATATTATTTATAATTTCCGTGAAATGAATTTAGTGTGTGTAATATTTTACATATTAAACATGCATTATGCAAGAGCTAAATCTGCCTATTGGGGGTCTTTCTCTAGACCCTAGATGCTATCTAAAATATTAATTAGACATTACTTAACTGATCAAGACAATAATCAACCCTCGATGCCGTCATTAGCCTGCGATATTTACTGGATTTGAATACGTTTTGTGATGGATCATTTGACGTAAAAATGGATAATCGAGACTTGGTTATCATACAAAAGATAGTAATGACGATCGAGGCTAGCCTAAATTGAATCGGTTCAGAGTAAATTTTCAGCATATTCTGTTTTCATTATCTATATTTAAACTATTATAGCGAGAACTGCCAGCTCTTTATCTAATCTTACTTAATGTATCTTTAATATAAAAATAAGCACTTTGTAAAGATTTTCTTTTGTAGTCAGTCAATCATCATTACCGTAACCTAACTATATTTATTAAATGACTTACATTTATTTAATCTCACCTAATGCCCCATTAAGTTATTAGCGGGGTTGGATGTAATACTTTTAGTAGAATTTTTGCTCGAGAAATAACATATTCGCATAATATGTGATATGTACTTAAAATACTTAAATCAACTTAGTCTGTAATTGACAGGTGACACATAAAAAAGAGCTATTTATCGAAAACATATGTCACTCATTTACCACCAGAATTACACGTGAGTGGAATTATTCTATTTGATTTAAAGTAACCAATCATTTTGTTAATTACACAAGTTCAGGGCCATGATCACGCGTTATCGTGCATGATATTCACTTACCTTTAAAAGAAACCGGGGAACCCTGTAAGTCAGACTTGCATTAGATTCCAGAGATCGAGGGTACATCTGAGTTCCTAGACAGCCGAGAGGCTGGATAGGGTGGAGAAGTGGTTTTAGCTATATAGTATTGTAATTTGTGCTATGCTTGTATACCTGTATTCAGTTATATGCTATATAAAATGTAGAAGCGAACTATGCATTATTATTCCTGGTAAGACAAACATCTTAAGAAACTGGAGGAAGTAAATACACAACGTGAAGCAGAAGTAAAGACAGCTAGAGACAAATCCTAGACGATCACAAGGCTACAGAAATATGTAGTAAGAAAAGATGCATGGGTCATACGTAGGATGTGGCGACCGGTTTCCCATAGACGCTCTCCACGTCAGACAAAAGATTTATGGTGCTACATGGATGGCCGAATGGAGTAGGAGTAGGGTCGCCTGTCCAACCTCGTTGGTTTTCTCCGGGTCCTCCCACTGCTAAAGACCCCTACGCGCAAGCGAATTATTGAAATAAATTTGAACCGTTGGTTAGTCCCGAAATGACCTAGTTTGTGTCGAGTGGACGTTAAACCCCATTTCTCTCTCACTCTCTCTCCCATTAAGTTATTAACACATGCATATTATTTTAATTCTCTGGGAATGAAATAGTGTGGGTGTATATCGAGATAATATGAAATGAAATGGGGTTTAACGTCCTACTTTTCTACGTAGACCGGGCCAAAGAAGACAGACCACGACTTACTCTTATTTCGAATTCCAGCTGTCAAGGATTATGTTTATGTTAATGTGTAAATGGGACCTCTTTTTTTACTCCCATCAGAACGGCTAGACGTGATTCATTGCTAAGGGAGACCACGGCTTGAAAAGAACCATTGGGAGTGTTTTAATTGAAAAACTAGCGACCTTGGCATTGCTATTCTCTGGATTTGTGAGATCTATTACATACGCTATGGCGGCCCAGCTAGTGAACCAGGAGGTTCCGGGTTCGATCTAAGGGTTCTTTGAATTATTCGGCGAGATTTTCCCTTTCTATATCCATATATACGAAAGTAAATAATTCACACAAGTTGGTAATCTCCTAAATAACCATCTTAAAGCCCTACTTTTATTCCGTCCCAAAGAAATCAAACCCTACTTGCATCCTGTATTCCCAGGGAATTCAAACCCTGCTTTTCTCTACTATAATATAGTGATATAATACTGGAACACTTATTATGGATACAATCTCTTGGTTTATTATACTGCAAGATTTCACAAGTCGTTTTCAAGCAAATACCTAATGTACAAATGAGACATATCATTCGTTCGTTCGTTTCTAGAGTTTTACGTCCACTTCCACCTAAGGTGATATGGCAGACAAGAGAGACATATCATGGGTGAAATATATATCGTTAACTAATGAACTGTATAGACAGGTGAAAAAAAGTTACTTTAAAGTTTTTATAGGAATATAAGTCTACTTGGAGTTAGTTTTTTGTTATTCTAATGATATAAAAACGTTAGGTTAAGTCAGAGTGACATTAAAATCATTATAATCATATCATGATGAGTTTGGCAATACAGTTATTAAAAATAGTTACAGTGTTTGATATATTTGGTAGTTTAAACGCCCAATAATTTAAATTATATTTAATTACATTTTTTTGTTATTCTAATGATATAAAAACGTTAGGTTAAGTCAGAGTGACATTAAAATCATTATAATCATATCATGATGAGTTTGGCAATACAGTTATTAAAAATAGTTACAGTGTTTGATATATTTGGTAGTTTAAACGCCCAATAATTTAAATTATATTTAATTACATTTATGGTTTGAGTAAATTTAATAAACATAAGTTAACAATTATAACAAATACATAATTGTTTGTTTTGGTGACCGTAACTTAAATGATCTGATCGTAGGCTCTGGGAAGATAAACGTCTTGGTCACGTTAGTTTAACGCGATAAACTCCACATACACTAAGTATATGCTCATAGCGCTACAAAAAGTCTAATGATTATGGTTTATGTGCTATAACAGTTTTATTTCTCATAGTATTCTTTAAACAGGTGTGTTTTAATAAACTCTTGAATTGTAATACGGTTGTTGCATCTTTAATTTCTGATGGTAGTTTATTCCAAAATGTTGCTGAGTTATACTGGAAAGATCGCTGTCCAGATAATCTTAATTTGACTTTTTGGCCACAAACTAAGTTTTGGTTAGCCGATCGTAGTGTTCAGCTAGGATGATATTTTTAAACAAGTTCCGATTGATAACTTGGTGTGATTTGGTGAAAACACTGATATGTGAGTAAGGGGATTTTAAATTTCACACGGGCCTCCACTATGAGCCAGTGAAGTTCTCTAAGTACTGGATTTATATGTGCAGGTTCTCGCTGTCGTGTTCATAGTCCGTTGCAGTCTGTTGATTTGTTCTTTGGGCAAATTACCCAACAGACTGTTACAATAACCTAATCTTGAGAGCACAAGGGATCGCACAATGTGGCGAGCAGTGTCTCTTGAGATCAGATTTCTTATGGATCCTATGTTACGGAGGTGAAAGTGACACATGCGATTAATGTTAGTGATATGTTGTTGCATTGATAAATTTGAATCCAGGTGGACGCCGAGATTTTTCACTTTTTTCGATAAATCAATCTGTGATTCTCCAATACGGATGGATGAATGCTGAACATTCGCCATTTTACTGTTATTTCCAACTAGCATGGTTTCGGTTTTTGAGGTGTTGAATTTTAGCATATGAGTAGGCATGCATGTTTTCAATATTAGTTAGTGCTATAGCGTAGTTACTGGGTTCAAAATGACGATGGAACTGCGTATCTTCAGCGTAGAAGTGATGAGATGGATCGTTATCAGAGAGGATTTTACCAAGTTCTCTGGTGTACAAACTGAATAATACGGGGTCAAGAACCGATCCTTGTGGTACACCTTCATGTAGAACTGATATATCATGAACAGATTGCACACGATCAGTCAGATGAGATATAAACCATGACGATGCAATACTTCTAATGCCAAAGTCATGTGATACAGGCTGTGTTAGTTGGCAAGGAAACTTTCCTTTCACCCGTCTTCCCAGGGAAATCAAACCACAAATTATTATGCACAAATTATAGTTTTACTCAGATCCTAACTACCATCATTTCTTGTCATTTTTTCATGTTTTCAACAGGTGAACAGTTCATCTGGACATCTCCTAGTGATAATGGCTGTGTGAATGGCAAGGAAGGTGAAGATATCTCGTTACTATGGGAATATCAAGCAGACTCGTCGTCAAGGTTAATTCTGATTAAAACAGAGGTAAAAGTCCAAGGTCCGCGAAATAGTCGCGTTAATGCAAATGTAATGTGACCGTTCAATTTACTGCGATTTCACCAGGGGGAAAACGCTGCGATTTCTTTTATTTCCACGTTTACTGAAAGTCGCTGAATATTTTGCAGAATCCCCAAGTCGAAACTAGGCCAATAAAATTATTAGTTTATTGTATCCATGAGGACACATTTTGTAAGCATGCCTTCAATAGAGATATGGACGAAAGTTCAAAAAGCACAAAATTTTCAATATTTCGGGTTTTTTTTTCACAGGATGTAGTAATTGGCCAATGGATCGAGAAACATAACAACTTCACAACATATTCTGTTTTTCAAGGAAGAGTCACTTTCAAAAGAACGGTCATCAAACAAGGTAGGTCGAGAGAGAGAGGGGGGGGGGTACAAACATATAGACTAGACAGGGCTAGAGCAGCTTGTGTCAGCATCTTATAGAGAGAGGGTTAGGTTGACAGCGGAAAGAGTTGGGGGGATGGGGGAGGGGGCAAGAGACAGGCAGATAGGCAGGCTATATTTAGTATGTTTAAATTTATGTTATAGATCATCCAGGAATTTACGGAGAAAAGATTGAGTTGAATTTGATGAAGGCACATAGAAATGATTTAAATGTACCGTACACCTGTCAACTCATCCTTAAAGACGCAAAAGTTAAACAGAAGGACATCAGAGTAGATTGTCCAGGTGAGTTACTACTACTACTACTACTACTACTACCAAATGCTTGAAAAGGTTAAAATATATGATTGTCTAGAATTAAGAGGTTTATTTTTTTCAGATTCGTCAGATGTAGGAACAGCTCGACCTAACAGCCATTTGTTTCGTATGCTTCCTGCCATTGTAAGTGTTGTGGTGTTCCTCCTCGTTCTGTTTGGCGTTGCCGTCGCGTGCTTCTTGAGGCGACGCAGAAGTAAGTGGATGTACATTCTCTTCACCATTGTTTAGGAAATATTGCAAATTTAGAGATAAAATTAAATTGGCACTTTTGACATATTTTGATTTATATATAATTTTGACTGGATTTTGACTATATTCGGCATATTTTGACTGGGTTGACTATATTTGGCATATTTTGACTGGGTTGACTATATTTGGCATCTTTTGATTTGGCATATTTTGACAGGGTCGCATTTAGCAATTGACACACGTAATAAACGCAAACAAATTAATACGGCGCAGAAAAGTAGGATGTTAAACCCCGATTCATTTAGTCATCCATTCTGAATTGAAATAAACCTTATTTTTTCTATTGGAACAGTAGACGGATACAAGGTGTATGATACAAATGTCCATACAAACACAGCTTACATTCAAAAAGTATGGGTTACTGTGTAAATAATGTGGTTGTGTTTTTCGGAGGGGGCGCAGAGTTATCTCTGGGTACCCCTCTGTACCTCTGTTGATCAGTATTGTTAAGCTGTTAATTATTTGAACTTTTTGTTTTACATCTTAGGTGACGTGTCTAGATTCATGAGACTTGATCAGGAAAATGTGGAGATGATGTACAACAACCAAAGCAACAATGAGGGGTCAGTTTATCAATCTGATTAGAATACAGATCTATATTTCGTTTCGTTTTTTTTATACTTTTGATGGCCTACACTACATGAAGATCTGACCGGTTGTAGCGATATGTGGCGTCAGAGGTCATACGAGCGGCTTTTGACCCTATGATGTCAGACATTTGATTAACGAATCAGCATTGATGTTACTAGTGGATTGCCCACAGTTCCGTGCAAAACACACCTAAAGCTCGCCGTAACAGACCGATTCATTGGCTAATTCCCCACACCATTCAGAACACGTCAATGATAACAAGTAAAACGAAATTTTGTACTATAAAAAACGAAACGAAATAGGATCTGTGGTTTAATCAGATTATCAGTTTATTTACCCGTCGACAAAAAAGAAACTTGGTGAGCTGATTCTTTCTAGACTTTAGCTAGGCCCTTTGCTTTCAAATAATAGGAGTTAGCCACGCCAGAAGATACGCGGTTCAATCCCATTCTGATTAAAACACAGATCCTATTTCGTTTCGTTTTTTATAGTTGAAAATTTTGTTTTACACTACACTAGGTTCTGGATGAGTTGTTATATAACAGACGTTCTAGTTGATGTGAGGAATTAGCCGATGAAACTCTCTGTTACTGCGAGTTCTTGGCGTGCTCTGCACGGAATTGTGGGAAAACCACTAGACATGTCAACGCCGATTGATTAATCAATGTCTGACGCCATAGGTCAAAAGCCGCTCGTATGACCCCTGACGCGACCCCCATAACAACTGGTCAGATCTCCATGTAGTAGAGGCGATCGAAAGGATAAAAAAAAACGAAACGAAATATAGATCTGTATTTTAATTAGATTGGGTGTCTAGTCTTTGGGATCGGACGAAAAAAAATATTTACCCGTGTATACATCGTAAAGTAGACTAAACGAAGGCTGGTAAAACTGACTTCATAACACACTGCATGTCTTCATTAGCCCTGTCGGTGCAGAATTGGGGCGGTGTTTCTTCATAAATAAAGTTAGAATATTGGCGTGGTTAGACTATTGTTATATTGGCGCTGTCACCCCCCCCCCCCATCCCCCTTAGTCCATTTTAAGCAATAGCAGTAATTTGTAAACTAAAATAATGTGAACGAGTGAACGATGAACCGCTAATAGAAATATCAGTGCATGGTTCAATTCGGTTCTGTATTTACAAACATATGTCCATTTGTAATTTCATTAATCTGCTCGCTATAAGGCAAGAGGTCCTCTGATTTCCTCCCAACTGCTAAAGACTCCTACGCGCGAATGAATTATTCAAATGAAAATTGAACCATATGATGGTCCCGCAGTGACCTAGTGTGTGTCGAGTGGACGGTTACCCCACCCCCCTCTCTCTCTCACTCTTTGTTGATATTTTAGCCACAAATGTCAAAGGCGTATTGTTACTTAGATATAACAAAATCTAGGGCTACATTATACACGAAAACACCGGAAAACACCATGTTATACTGAATACTGGAAAGCACCGGAAAAACACTAAATACCGGAAAAAACACTAAATACCGAAAAACACACTAAATACCGGAAAACGCCCAAAATAGGTAACCCGGAGAAGGGCTATACTATAAACCGGAAACTAACCCTAACCCTAACATAGGCACACTGAGGACCAGGCTCCGGGTTACCTATTTAGGGCATTTTCCGGTATTTAGTGTTTATAACATGGTGTTTTCCGTTAGTTTTCCGGTTGTTTTCGGTGTTTTCCGGTATATAGTATTGTCGCAATATTTACATTAAATATCTAAACGTATGTTTCTTTTTAAACTCAACTAACATCTTCTGTTTTTATTTTCAGGCAAGAAGGGTGACCAAAGTGTGAGGTTGATTTAATTGATTGCTTTCAAACATCATGAAAACTAACATCGCTTAATTATTTTTATGTTAAATTTTTGTATGATAATAATAATGACTTTATTTTCTGTTATATACTACTCAAAATATAGAGCAACTATAAGGTAACAATATTTAAAAGTGTATACTTTATCTAACATACTGATTTTTTTAAACTGGACATATTTTTTATTTATATAACTAAATAATTATACTGTATTGATTTTTTTTAACTGGACATATTTTTTATTTAGTTTTATTGACTGTTAAATCGAGGAACGTATTTTTTTAATCAAATGGTTTTCCATTAGTTTTCTTTTTGTCCATACTAAACTTAAGCTGTCTGTCTACAGTTAGCTTCGCCCGAGAACAGACACTAAGCTAGTTGACCGACATTTTAAGTACTAAATCGACGATTTTAGTCGAAAACACGAAGTATACTTCGGGAACTTTGTTGAATTGAAAGAAGTTTATTTAGTCTTTGTGTGTATGACAGAAGTAAAACGGAGTATAACCGCATTACAAAACAATATACTAATTTTTGGATATGGCGGCCATTTAGGACAGAGATCTATTCTCGAGGAATGAAGTAGATGGATATCTGTGTACAGAATGCTTTTTTGTCATGTCATTGACTTTCATTTTCTTTGTTGGTGTTGTGCAGGGTTAAATATGTGTCTATTTACAGACAAAGGCCCATTTTCAACGTTACAAACCCCATCGATGGTTGCGTACTCTATCCCTTAAGTTTCGATTCCCCGGTTGTACGTGACAAGTAGTAGAGTCGCCTGTCCAACCTCATGGGTTTTCTCCGGGTCCGTCGGTTTCCTCCCACTGCTAAAGGACATTGCTGAAAATCAGTAACTGTTTTTCTAATTAATTGGCAGTACTCCAAGTCTTGTAGGTAAAGATTATTGAAAAACCCAAGGACCCGGTCCCTTATCACAACCATCAATATTTAAAATCACAGTTACATAGCTATGATCACTTAGACCAGTGTGAGATATGAAATGAAATGAAATGGGGTTTAACGTCCTACTGTTATGCTCCTAAACTGGACTAATGAAGACGGGCATACGCCATGTAGTGTGCTATGAGGACAATTTTGCCCGGGCAGCGGCGCTACGGCCTACTCTTATATCGAATTCCAACTGCCAAGGGATCTTTTACGTACACGCTAATATGTACACGGGACCTCGGTTTTTCGTCCCATCCGAACGACTAGACAGCTGCCCTTGTCCAGTGTGAGATGTAAATGTATTATGTACAATAAGATAATAAACACTTACTCAGAAATACAAACTCAATCCGCGATTGTTTGAGGTCACCTTGAACAAACTGGCGTCTGGTAAATACTTGTTTCTCGGGATTCTTCCTCCTCCAAATATCAAACAGATTATTATCACAAGTAAAAGTTGACAGCAATTTGTTTGTCAGATTGAAAGCAGACATGTTACTAGACCGGCCAAGATGCAGTTCCATCACATCATTGAAGTCTTCACACACTAAAACATTTTCAGATGATAATATCATGGTTAAAACTTTGTCATAAAACGATTTCCTGTCCTGTTGATTGTTTGGTGAATAAACACACAATAAATCAAATACTACGCCATTTTCATTTATCTGGCGAGACGACCGCCATCATCACTGGAAACAAACTGACATTTTGGTACAAAATGTTTAGAAATAAATATTGCACGTCCTTTAAAGCCGTTATTCGAAATCGAATAAAAAACGTCGCCATCCCAAAATGTTTATAAGTATCAATAAACACGTAATCCCAATGTGTCTCTTGTACACAAATACGCCAGTTCGCAACAAAATTTTGATATTTCGAAAAACTTCTGAGACCATTGACGTTTATAGTTGCTATCTTTACCATTGAGATCACTAATAGTAAATTAGAAAACGGGAACATTTTTACGCGACGATTTTGAACGTGTACCTTTCATCACTGATTCTGATATTATATCAACAAAAACAGAAATGAAATGAAATGGGGTTTAACGTCCTACTGTCCTGCTCCGAACTGGGCTAATGAAGCCGGGCATACGCCATACAGTGTGCTATGAGGGAAATTTTGCCCGGACAGCGGCACTACGGCCTACTCTTATATCGAATTGGATGGCCGAATGGTAAGCACGTGCGCGCTGTATCATAAGGCCTGTCATTGAGTCAACTGGCGTGGTTTCGAATTCCCGGTTGTACCTGACTGCTAAAGACCCCTACGCGCAAGCGAATTATTGAAATAAAATTAAAACCATATGTTAGTCCCGAAATGACCTAGTTTGTGTCGAGTGAACGTTAAACCCCATCTCTCTCGCTCTCTTTGAATAAACGGAACAAAACTGTATAAAACTATCAAGTTTTTTGTTATGTATTAAAGCACAACTACAGGCAGGTTTAGATGGGCTGGAAAAACTCTTTGAGAAAGAAGCCAGCTGTACCAGCTCAAGTCGATCTGTGATTTGTTCGGTTCTGTGTAATAGCTAAAGGCAATACCTTTAGGCAAGTGTCTAAATCAAAGGCTGTGTATGTTCACCAGATGCAAGCATCTAAAGGATGAGCGCTCAAAGAGTGCTAGACCTAATTCTTAAGACCAATTCAAGATTTCGTCAAGGTCGCAGGGATGCAAATAAGACGAAGGCACGTGATTGTAGGTTAGAGTTAAGGTAGGCATTAGAGCTAGGTCCAGGGTTAGGGTTTGGATTAGCGCTAGACCTGTTTACATCTTGTGACCTTTGACCAAACTTGTAGTTGGCCATACGAAATAGATATAACCTTCAAGGAGTATTTATCAAGAATTATGGGTGTAACATCTTCGACCCTGGATACATCCTCAGTACCCCCAGTAGTCTCATTCCGTTGTATTCCACTAACCCATGGGGGGAGACACGTATTCAAGTTATCCGCCCTTGATGATTATGCTATTTTTTATCGACCAATTCCATAAATCGTTAATTGCAAAGGAGGTTGGCGAAGGGAAGTAACTCTCATCGTGTAAACTAAGGGCAACGCAAATGCTCCCCTTCAAGAGACAAGGTTAGGAATTAGCCAGAAGGTAGCCTAATTCTCCTCCAGTATCCCCAAGCAAAAATGACAGAAGACCAAATTATGCTAAATGCATAATTATTAACATCAAGTTACAATACTTATATTATATATTAACACCAAATTACAATATTTATATTATATATAAATGAAGACCAGACAGATATTACAGATATTTACATATGTAGATTCAAGAGTTTTATTGAGAATGGTATCTTGATTTGGCGGTTTCGTAATAACATAATTCATCCTTTACACTTGAGTATCACCGAGGAGAATACCTTCATCGATTAAACCGAACTACCGCTTTATTATCTTATAAGATGGGGGCTTTTCTGTGGGAGGAAACCGGAGTAAACCAACGAGGTTGAGAAGGCGCCCCTATCTCCAAGTCACATACGCTCACACTTGGAATGTAAACCACTTCCTCAAGCCAGAGGTGACCGGCCAGCTAGAGGTCTACGCGCGGCACTCTACACTACTAGTCCATACCATCCCTCTTCTACTCTATACTAAATTACTAAGTATATGTACAATAATAATAAACATAACAGAATGGTAATAGCTTATGAACGTTTCAGACAAAGAACGAATAGTAATAATTATAACAAAAGTAAAACATACACATTTTATACATATTTAAATTCATCGAAGCATACTACATTTTTTGATCTTACAATAAATATACTCTTCAAAAAATGTAAGGGATATTGAAATGCAAATACCTATGCAGGTTGTGATATGATAAATAGTCATGGGCACTTAACATGCTTTGAGAGTATATTCACAGATGAAGAACTTATATAAATTAGAAATAAATGAATTAAAAACATAAACATTATTCACATAAATCATTCAGTAAATGGCCATTAATGGGATTATCTAACCTTATAAAAACGAACGCGAAACGAAGGCCGTTTCATTAGCAAGACTGGTTTTTAAACTGTTTTTGATTGGTTCGTAGACTCAAGCAACAATCAAGGCCAGAGTAGATAATTTGAAAACCCAGGGTATTCAGACGAGTTACCTGCCCTTGAATTAGAAATCGGATTCAGACCACATGGTCGTAACAGACTTTAGACATTACATCTTAGTCATATAGCTTAAGCCCAATGTTATTTTTGAAATATTGTCCACGTTACAGGCACCCGTGGGGTATAGTGGAGTAAAACGGAATATGTTCCACGGAGGAAACCAATGAAGCCCACGAGAGACGGATATCCCAGTGTGAACAACTGAACCAGGGTACTATAGTGCGGGATAACACGTGTGCCTGGCTGACTCGACAGGATGGCAATGAATTTGAGTTTTCATATATGCATTGTCAACAAAATAAATTCAACATAATGTAATTTATTGATAAAGTTGACATACAAAAGTACATGTTAGTTACGTTAAATATGTCGTAGGATATGCATATAAATTATAATAGTATGCTATTCATACAAATTCAGCTAATTAAGTAAAGGGGGATAATAATATCAATAATAGGACCACAGATGGAGGCAGACCATCATCAAATTTCACCATTTCGGTACCGTCTATTTATAGCAATTCTCTCTCTGTCTCGTTTCTCTCCTTTTGCATGCCCATTTTTGTTGAGTGTTTGGTCTAGACTGGGCGAAGAGGGTTTGAATTAACATCTTCTGCCAGGTTTTGGTAAATATTCATGATTTTGATTGATCGAACTTAAACTTATAGTAATAATATCAAACCGAAGACATTCTTAGTGTATAAAATCAGTTAACAAGTGATATTCCATTTCACATTCCAACATGAGGAATGGATACAGTCTCAGATTGGGTTGGGTGGGGTTCTTGTAGCGTTTGAACTACCGACCATGAAACGACTGCGGTAAACAGATTCATGTACTTTAATCTTATTATAATTCATATTGACGTTTCAGCGATGTTTTTAACATTTGCCAAAATATATCTTTGTTGTCATTATCTTGCCATTTGATATAAGTAGTAGTTTTCAATAGAGCGTTCAGTGGTTTACTCATATTAACTGCTTCAATATCCTCTAGTAATACTACTACTATAGACTCTATACTCGTATCTATAACCAATTTCTGAGCTAAACTCATTTCAAATTGACACCATTTACTTCTAGCAAAATCATTGGACAAAATAACAAGAACTTTCCGACTATCTTCCATGTGTTGTACAATATTATCAATGATCAGTTGTCCACCAAGAAAATCTCTTTCGTGGATACACAACTTAATGTTTTCACCTTCTTCCACGATAGGTAGAAGATCATGTAAAACCCAGTCTCCATCTTCTATACAGTAAGCAACAAAGGCGTCATGAGCAAAGTGTTTCTCTGCAATATCCAACAGCTGTTTAGGTCTGTATCTCCACATATAAATATGATATTTAATATGCCAGATATATTTGTTGATAACAGAAGCGATCAAAATAACACAGATAAAAAAACATGTTACTGTTGTCACAGAGATAAACGCTCCGGTGTTATTCAAACAAATTCTCTCTGTTATATTCAGACATCGATAGCCGTCAGGATAACCCCAAAACTTGTATGGTTCCCTATGAATCCACTGAATCAACCAAACCAATTCACACTTACATACGAGCGGATTATCATTTAAAGATATTTTTTTCAATCTTGTCATAAACACTTCAGGCAGCATTTTACTTGTAACAGTCTGAATTAAATTATGGGCTGCATTTAATTCTGTCAATTTAATGTTCCTTTCAAAGAACTCAGTTGGCCAGGATTTAATCAGATTCCAGCCAACTTCTAAATAAGTAAGATTATGATAATGTCTGGTGACAGTAGGTAGGTTCTGTAAATTACAATCCAACAGCATCAATACTTCAAGAGATGTCAGAGGGGCTAGCGTTTTATTTAGTTTTTCCTCCATTTTAAAGAAATTACTTTTAGACAGATCTAGTTTTAGTAACCGATCCAATCCACAAAATGCATGTTCATGCAGGCGGTTAGTAGTCAATGTGTTCTTTGATAGGTCTAGACTTAGCAGTTTGCTGTTGTTGAACGCACGTTCCTCTATATAAAATGTTCTACCCTGTTCTGAGATAGACAACGAGCTAAGAGACTTGAAAGAATGAAAATAATCAGTTTTTAATGAGTCAATGTAGTTTAAACTCACATCCAAGATTTTAAGCTTTTCCAAGCAGTTTAGATGTTCTGGAACGAAAGTACCAATTATGTTGCGTTGTAGTTGCAATTTCATTATCTCTGGAAAGAGGTTTCGACGATAACAAAAGTTTGGCAAAGCAGCCAAACTGTTATTAGAAATAGAGAGGTGTTTTAACTTTTCCAAACAATTAAAATATTTCGGAACAAAATTACCAATCTTGTTGCTTTGTAGTTGCAATGTTGTTAACTCTGGAAAGGAGTTTCGACGAAGACAAAAGTTTGGTAAAACAGTCAAACTATTATTAGAAATAGAGAGGTGTTGCAGATGGTGGCTAACACCCGGTATGACGGTGGATATTTTGTTATTCGAAACGTCCAATATTTGCAATTTTTCTATTTCGTTAAACACTGTCATATTAAGTAGCTTGATTCTATTCTGAGATAAATTCAAGGTTATCTTTTCCGCGGATTTAAAGTCAACGAAAACATTATGTGGAATATATTCTAAGCGATTTCCTCTGAGACTTATCTTGGATAGATTGCTATTTCTCTGAAAACTAGAGAATAAATTCCGTAACGAATCTGAAGTGAGTAGATTATCTGCTAAATCCAATAAGTAAACATGCGATAAATTTTGAAACACAAATTCGTCAATATTCTCAATTTCATTATGGTGTAGATTTACGGTTGATATTCTTGTGTTGCTAATGTTTAAAACTGTAGTTGGAGTAACACGGGGTAAATAATTATATTTAAAGTAGACTGCTATGGTGTTATCGGGAAATTTTGGAATGTAGGTAAGGTTTGTATTATAACAGCGAGCAACACGATGTGCGCACTTGCATAATCCGATTGAACACGCATCCTGAACTGCCACAGATGGTAAACAAAGAGCCAGGATCACAACAGCCAACATCTTACATGGATCTACCATCAAAACAGTTTCCTGAAGAAAAAAATATATTTATTTTGAGACGGTTGAATTAAAATGGGTTTGTTAACGCAACGACGTGAAGTCAACATGTGGTTGGTTTGTTGTTCGTTATTTACAAGATATGGATTTATTAATATAATACAGGCACTACTGTGGGGAATACAGACCGGGAGTGGGTTTTTTATGGTTTATAACACATCAAAGTCTTTGAAAATAGATTCTTACAAGCTGCCTTTCTATAGCAGTGGTTCACAACCTTTTTTTGCCAACATCACACCTTCGGACACATGAAAAAATAGCGGCACACCTGTCTAAATATATATGAAAAATATTTGACTTTTGCAAAATAAAAACATGTTAAGTCAGACGGCATACAATCATGATAGACAGAGACTGGTCATAGACACATAGAATGACTCAAACTAAATAAAGAAATACACAGCTATGAACTTATCGGTAGACATTCAAGGCCGATCAGATGGTTTTTCGCATTTAATTAATGTGCCGTTCAAAATTTCGCGGCACACTTAGGAAGATCTTCGGCACACCTGTGTGCCTGTGTATAGAATCTCTGTTCTATAGGATAGTAACGAACGAGCTAGTTTGCTGTTTGTTATTAGCGTTAGTTTCCAGCTTGTGAATATGATAGAAATGAAATTCTTTGAGGAACCCTCTTATCAAATGGGATCAATATCCATGCTATATTTGGATAAGCTGCTTTTTGGAAACTTTTTTTTTCTTTGGGCTCTCTGTGTAATTAATAGAGACTTTTGGCAAGCGTACTTTCCTGGTCCGTATCGCGTATCCGTATGGATTTTGCGTGTGACGTCATCAATGTGTGTGTATTTCTCATACGTGATACGGCACACGCTTACGGCAGCTCGTATCGAAAAGCTTTCATACGATTAAGGTCCGTATAACATCGTCGTCTTTTTACTGTCTTTTTTTGCTACTTTTAGACGCTGAAATGTTGTATCATAGCGTTTTTATGAATCTATGTGTATCCTGGAACACGAAGGTGTATATTTGATGTGATTTTAACCGTGATAACGACTGGAATTTAATCATTATTTTTGATGGGGTTTTCTCGGAATTTTCATATTTTTACCATCTGTGTGCATGCTGTTTGATCTACGTGCTAATTTTAGGGAGGCGGGACCTTGCAAATCTGTGAATTATTTTATTCTATGGTAACGGGGTATGAACTTTCTGCGATGATACATGAGTGAAACCAAAAATTGACGTCGAGTCGAAGTCGAAGATTTTAATAAGATTCGACATTAAAAATGTTTTAATAGCCGTGCGGCTGTCGAGCGACATTACTCCCTCCGGGAAATTGTAGGCTAGGCATTTGACCAGTACAGGTGGTGATGCTGTAATAGAACTTACTCCAGCTCAGCCACGCGAAAATCTGCCAAAACTCTAAAACTTCATTGACGCAACGTATCACATATACCATACGGATACGTGATACGGATGGGAAAATTCCGATTGCCAAAAGTCTCTAATGAGGCTTGTTTGCGTGTACGTAGTGGGACCCCGCTGCACTTACTATTACGAGACGCTTTTAGCCAATGTCAAATTTAAAGGGGCATTATATAAGATTTAGATACAGAGCTGACAGTTCTCGCTATAATACACTGAAAAAAAACTTGTGTTGGATCTCAACACAAGTACTTGTGTGAAAATTATTCTACACAAAACTTGTGTTGTTTTGCATTGCATTAACACAAACTTGTGTTCTTTTTAATGCATTAACACAAATCTTGTGGGTTTTTTCATATAATTAACACAAGTAATGTGTACCGTCAACAAATATTTTTTTTTTTAATTTGAACTCCATACAAAGTCTTAATCCGGGCGTCCACAAGTATAAGAAAAGTATTTTTTACTCAGACATGATGGCCAGACAGACTTGAATGCTAATTGGTGTTAAGATGTCTGTAGTTAAAATAAAGTTGTTGATTTTTTATGGGCCCAATAAACTTGTAGATCAAAGGCCTATTGAGCGCTCATGCCCGGTGTGATTTTAACAATTGACTCCAAATGCATTGACAAGAAAATAAGTAAAACTATTATTTAATGTGATTGGTTGATAAAATCAACGTACTATAGGCTATAGTTTGTCTGCGATATCATCTCTTTGCAACCGGACATTAAATGAATTGATTTCACACAATTCATTTACCATTTAACAGCGTGCTGAAATGATTTTTGAGCAGTGATATGTTTGACAAATGTAAGCTAATGGTCACAGAGAATAAAAGACCGCAGGTTTGTGAATATTTATATATAAAAAAAATAATACCATTTATTTTATGATCAGTAGTGGAATACCGCGTTTTATCAGTGAAATAAAAGTGTTATTCCACTGGCTAGTTGTTTTTACCTAAAATGATTGTAAAATCATAAAATAAATAGAACATTACGCATTCGTGAAAATATAAGTTTTCTTGCTTCTCGATGAAATAAAATATGTTATTCACTCTAAAACGACAAATATCCTCTATGTATGTAATTTAGCATCGATATTGTTTTTGTGTATAATACTAGTATTTCGTTTCCTTAAAAAAACTCCAACAATTTAACCCGGAAGTTCATGTTTAAAATGGCGGGCGGGGACAGGGAAAAAATTTCGGCATGTTATTATCAAATCTGTTCAATTTTTCTGAAATCGTGCTTAATTAACATTAGTTGTTCGGCGCTACGATGTTGTTCAAATACGTACATTACAGAATCACATTATGATTAAACCAGAAACGGCTCGACTTGAACCAGCAGGTAAGAATCTGTTTTGAAATTATATCTTGGGAGGTTGGATTGGATTGGCGGCCATTTTGATTCTTGTTTCATGATTTTTTATATTATAAAGATTTTGCCAAGAGTAGACATAAACGCGGGCACAGACTAGAAAAAATCTTTTTACACTTTTGTGTTAGTTGAATTGTAATCTAATTTATGTTTAAAAAAACAACCTTAAATCAAATAAGCAGATATTTTCCCCAAACCCTCCGTTCAACCTCTGACTCTGTCACTCTGTGGAATATTATTAGGCCCCTATTTTCCTGATTCAGTCACAGTTAATAAATAATAAATAATGGAACTAGAATCAGTCTGTGGAAGTTTCTCTATAGTTTCATTATTTTTTCCAGTCAGTGATGATATGACTCATTCCACCTTACAGTTACAGCAATTACCGTATTGAGAATTTACAGTTCAAGGACTCCATTTTGGCATTGAATTGGAATTTGAAGAAAAACTGGTAACAATTTCATTTAATTTTTATATTTTCTATTTTTTTTTTTACCAATGTCCTACAATGATTAGTGTATGTGAACATACAATCCCAAGTAAAGTATTTATATGACACTTACATGCAACAGAGAGAGAAAAATGACATAAACAAGGCCTTACGTGTACTTGTATTTGAAGAATCAAGTAGTCCAAGCTATGCCTATATGCATACCGGTAATCAACTACGACGACAATTAGCTTTCTTCCGTTTCCACCCTTTCCCTGCACACTGTTCCATTCTACTTAGCCTACAGAAGCTAGGTCGTTTCGGGAAAAAGGGGCGCTATTGCACTTTCGTACCTCTACCAGTTCCCGTGGTCGTAGGAACTTGAAATTATTAGAGGATGTTAAGGGGGACTAGCAATGACCACACACCAAATTTCGGCCGAATCGATCAATAACATTTTTATTTTACCGACCTTTTAATTTCTAACGAGAGAGAACTTCATCTGTTTGACGCCATTTGCTTTGTTTACTATTTAGACTCGAATAACAAGACACTAAGACGGAAACCGACACACTGCACTAGCTGCCTATCTCTGCAGTTCATAAAAATTAATATAATTTTCGTATACTTTAATTTTTGCGCGAAGCCACCATGTTCTATAAAATACTATTTGGTGTTGATCAGTGGATTGGCCTTTAGGTGTGAATATTGCCGTGACCTTGATTTTGACCTTGAGTCTTAACTTCCCATCCATATCAGGGCCTTTGCGTTTATGATTGCCGTGGCCTTATTTCTTACTGTATTTTCAAAGTTAATGTTCGAGGTGAAAGCAGAGACGACGTCCTTCAGAAAAGATAATTGGGTCAAAGTCGTAGGTCAAGGTCATGTTACAGAAAACTAAACTCAAACTTTTCAAAGTCATTTTTTGGACATTTGACCTTGACTTACGACCTTGACCCCGTAACCGTTTTCGAAGGCTATCACCTTGGCTTGAATCATGGACGTTTACCTTGGTTCTGTCACACACTGCTCGGTCAGAAAAGGGTCAAACGGAGAGGGGCCCGTGTCCGAAAGGAAGTCAATGGGCGTGGTCAATGTGAAAGGTCGTGGTGACCTCCACTAGTCACCGTTAACCATCCGTGACCTTGACCCTGACCTAGTGTCCGAACTTCCCATCCATCTCGGGCCCTTTGCGTTTATGCGTGCCGTGACCTTATTTCTTACTGTATTATCAAAGTTAATGTTCGAGGTGAAAGCAGAGACGGCGTCATTCAGAAAAGATAATTGGGTCAAAGTCGTAGGTCAAGGTCATGTTACAGAAAACTAAACTCAAACTTTTCAAAGTCATTTTTGGGACAGGGCCAGGGTAAACGTCGATGGTTCAAGCCAAGATGATGGGCTTTGAAAATGGTTACGGGTCAAGCTCGTAAGTCAAGGTCAAATGTCCCAAAACTGACCTTGAAAAGTTTGAGTTCAGTTTTCTATAACATGACCTTGACCTACGACTTTGACCCAATTATCTTTTCTGAGGGACGTTGTCTTTGCTTTCACCTCAAGCATTAACTTTGATAATACAGTAAGAAATAGGGTCACGGCAAGCATAAACGAAAAGGCCCCGAGATTGATGGGAAGTTTGGACTCAAGGTCGAAGTCAAGGTCACGGATGGTTAAAGGTGACTAGTGGAGGTCACCAGGAACTTTCACATTGACCACGCCCTTTGACTTCCTTTCGGACACGGGCCCCTCTGCGTTTGACCGT